CAACACATGCTTGGAGTCTGAGAAACACCAGTCTATTCTGCAAGATGGTTATTATTAGCCCCATTTCAGAGAAGGAAAACAGAGCTCAGTGATTAGAGTGCTCAAATCCGCCCGGCCAGGAAACCAATTTGTACTCGCACCTGATTCCAAAGCTATTTCTCCCATGGCTTTTGTAGCCAAATTGTCTGGACCATTTAGAGCCCTCAGCTACTGAGCCACCAGGATGCGACGATGACATTAGCTTAAGAGGGGTGGGAGTGAGAGGAAGGATGAAGCCTGCACTCAGAAGTGATTAATTATAGATGCTTTTAAATCCACATCATGCATCAGGCCTAGATGGTCAGCCATCCCTCAGGACGGACCAGCTTTTCCCTGCTCTATTTATCAGCGGGGTTGCCATGAGGGGGTGCAGGGAGAGTCCCTTCATTTACAGCCCTCTGTGCACCCACTGCCTAGCATTGCTTTGAATAGGAAGAGAATTAAGTTACCTGTTCTGTCTCCAGAGCGCTTGCTTGAAAGTACAGCCTTGACAGGGACAGGAAACCTCTTCTGTGCCCAGGCACAAAGCCGGTTCCAGTACCTGGGGATGCTGGGAATGAGTCACCAGAAAGAATCCAATGCATGGACACAGAGCATTTTAACAATGTTGCAGATCTGGTTCAAAGAAGGCAGGCCCCTTTTTTTTTTTTTTAATCTAACCCTAAATCTGGTGTCTATCGGTTCAAGTGGTTCATTAAACTCTTGACTTTCAACCCACAGTGCTTTCACAGATCCTAGGTTAGGAAAAAGAAATCTCATTCACAATTCATAATCTTCTACATAGACTTGGTGGTGATTTTAAAGATTGCAAGTTTATCCTGTAATTTAAATTAGTTCACTTAAATGAATTCACACTGTGGGGCTTTATACAGAAGCTGGTGGAGTAGGAAGGCAGGTTTGGGAATCACACAGACCTTGGTTTGACTTCTGGCTGTGCCAGTTCCTCACAGATTACTTATCCTCTTTGGGCCTCCATTTTTCCACTCACACACAGATGGGAGGTAATCCCATGTTATAGGTTTGTTTGTTGTTCCCTTTGGTTCTTTTTTTTTTTTTTTCCTAAGTAGGCTTCAGGCCCAGTGTGGGGGCCCAAGGCAGGGATCAAACACAACCCTGAGATCAAGATCTAAGCTGAGATCAAAAGGAGAGGACCCCTTAACTGACTGAGCTACCCAGGAACCCCTGTTTTTGTTTTTGTTTTGTTTTCCTGAAATATGTTGATGTGAAGACAAAATGAAATTACATTTTAAAAAATAATAATAATAAAGACCCTGTCACAACTTTGCATTTCAAGACATAAAAAACTTAACCACATGACAGGAAAGTAGATCTAATCAAAAAGTCCACAGATGGGTTACACTGAATGCATGTACTTGCGTAAGGGCCCCTACACTTATTTCACTCTTTTGTTTTTCTAAGTTTCTATTTTTAGGCACCTCAAACAAGCTAAATCAGACCAAAGAAAATTCCATTGACAAAGTTATCAGAAGGTCTGTCAATTTTCAAAAACTCAGCAGATGCACATAAACAGTCATTTCATAATGCAGCCGACAAAAACAAAATGTGCTCTCTCCCACCCTCGGCAATCTTAGTTACATCACCCCATGGAACTCAGTCCATGTCAACTTGTGGTAGGGCTTTCAACAAGTCTCCATTTCTGTGAGACTCGCTTTCTCAAATGAAGCAGCAGGCACAATAATATTTTGGAATCCAACAGACCTGTTGGAATCCCAGCCCCATCACTCACTGGCTGAGTGATTTGAGTACATGACTTAAGCCCCTGGGCCTCAGTTTCCCCAACTGCAGAAAGAGGGTAATATGCATGTGGCTGATGACACACCCATGTGTCATGTAACATGACGTCCCATACGACATAGGACTGCTGGACCAACAGTGGTGGTCTTTGCAAGAGCAAAACGTAACAGTGGAGCGTGTAGTAGAAGATCAATAAAAGTTTGTTCCTCTGCCCCCAGGACTGCTTATTCACATCCCAGACCCCATGTCAGAGACTGAGGTGGGTGTTGGAGAAGTAAACAAAGACTAGCCTCAAAGATGTCACTGTGCCACAAGAGCCTCAGATACAGAGACAAGGTGATTAAGCACTCTAAAAGATTGCTTGGGGGTGGCAAGGCTTGGAGAGAAGAGTTAGAGAGGGACTCTGCTGAAATTGGCTGCCAAAGGCTTGACAAAATAGGTCTGTTTAAACGGAACACACGAAAGTCTGGCAGACAAATGGGGGGGCTGGGAAGTAGATCTACAAAATTCCTTCTCTCCCCAACCTCAAGTTCCCCCAATGCAAGCCCTTTTATTTCTGCAAGGCTCGGGGTCACCAGGTACTCCTGCCATCAAGTGACAACCACCACAGTCATCCATGGCCCATCAATCCAACAGGAAGGTTCTGGGGAATAGGAAGAACAAATGCCCAAAAGCTTTACTGCACTTCCCAAGAGTATGAAAAGAGAGCTCCATGCATGAAAATTTCTTGGCACTTTAGCCCACCAAAGACTGGAAGTTTACCCTCAACCTAATGAAATCTTTATTTAAAAAAAAAAAAAGCCCACTCTTTTAAGTTCAGGAAGAGGCAAGCCACTGAAACAAATCAAAGTCCTAAAAACTCTTCATCTACTTTTTGTAGGACTCTTATCAGAATCCCAACACTTAGGAAAGCCACGCCTTACCATGGAAGACCAGTTACCTAAGAGGCATCAACTGTATTTTTCCAAGGGCTTTTTTATAGGATGGGTTATTTTCTTTCCTTTTTAAGATTTTATTTATTTATTTGACAGAGACAGAGAGCACAAGCAGGCAGAGGGAGAGGGAGAAGCAGGCTTCCTGAGGAGCAGCGAAGCCCAGGACGCTGGGAGCCCAGGACCCTGAGATCATGACCTGAGCCGAAGGCAGACACTTAACCTGACGGAGCCACTGAAGCACCCCCGGGATGGGTCATTTTCAAGGCTGCATATACCATGCTAAGTATCATCACTTGAAAGTTTTATATTTCCAAACATGTGCCACCGTGTTTGACAAAACGCACCTTGCTGGGAGACAGTTCTCCACCAAACTCCTCATCTGTCAAACTGGAGGTTCAAGGAGGCAAAAAGCCTCCTTGAGAGATCAATATATCCCACAGGACAATCCAAACTTGCTCCTGCTCCAGGGTCTTGTGGGATACAATTCTGAATCACGTCTGACAATAATTTGCACTTTACCCAACTCTTTACTAGCCAGTATTTCATTCAATACTTACAAAAGAAAAGTCCAGTGGTAACATGACCAACCCAATGTTAAAACTAAAGAAACTACTAAGCTTTAAAAATACAAAAGTAAAAATACAGACAGATAAAAGTTCAGATCTTGGTAGCTTCCCCAACACCATCACTTATCCCAAATACAATCAACTGGAACAAGAACAAGTCAGAAAAAAAACCAGAGTCCCTTCTGATGTTCATTTAAATACAGATGAAAACTTAATTATCAGTGCAAACTCAATCACTGTTGTGCAGGATTCAGTATATGATTTTGCCAGCACCTATCATCTGCTATCTAGAGCTACAAGATGTACATGTTTTCTGCCAAATCTTCATTATCTTACGTAATTGGGAGAGGGGTAATTAAAATTCACCTTTTTCAATCGTTTTAACCTCCTGCTCCAACCTCTCCTTTCACAGGGCTTTTTTTGGGGGAGGCAGAAAAGAAGAACTCATACTTCACATCTTTTCCTGCTCATTATCTTGTGTGAATGTTAAAAATAAGAGGGGGGGAAGGGGTGTTATCCTGAACATCGCTTTTAAAATTCTAAAATGTGCGAAGAGAGCACCCGGGAGACCAAGCTTCTAGTTCTGGCAGTGACAGAGTAGCACTGCATGACCTTGGGCAAATCATTGCATCTCTGGACCCCAAAGATGGTCAAGCCCGGTCCTCTCTTAAAGCACAGATTTCAGACGCGTCCCCAGGACAAAACAGTGAAGGGACCCCAGGCTGTCGTGCCCCTGGGAGGAGGAATGGGCTTTTCACAGGCCCCTGCAGGGGTTTCTGGGGAGGGCAAGGTGCCCCCACTCCCCACCCCAACCCCTCCCCGCAAAGCCACTGGGCCAACTTCAGGTCGCAAACAAAAACCTGTTGGCACGGACTCCTCTAGGAAGGGCCAGCCTCTGCCAACGCGCTCCGCTCTGGGGGAGCCGCCCCACGCAGAGAGAGGAAGGGTCTCCTTGAAGAGGCCGGCCCCCACGCACCCATTCACCCACCCGGATCAGCCGAACGGGACCGCCGGGCGGGGTCTCTGGCATCCCACGCGGAACAAAAGGCAGCTGGAGCCAGGCTCTGCCGCCCCCGTCCCCGCTGTGCTGTGGGGGTCGGGGGTGGGGAGGGAGAACCTGGTCCCCGGGGAGGGAAAGGGGCCCCCAGCTCCAGCCCGAAGGAGAGGGGCGACCGGACGCAATCCCGGACAGCGAGGACCCCTCCCCCGATTCCTGGAGGAAACAGGGGCTGGGCTGTGCACGGGGGCGGCCGGGAGGGAGATCGGGCTCGGCTCCGGAGGCAGGGGGCGCCCGGCCCGACCAGGGGAGGAAAGTGCTCTGGGGAGGAGGGGCGGGGTGGTTCCCGCAGAAAGGTGGAGGATGAGGGCCTGGAGAGGCTCCTGGAGCTGAGCCCCTGACTCCGAGGATGTAAGAGGGAGAGTTCCCCGACAGGGAGGTTAGGGAGGAGGGGGGGCTCCCTTGAGGCTGAAAGCGGGATCCAGATGGGGAGGGGGCCATGCTCCAACCCGTGGGGCGGAGCCTGGCTGGAAAGGAAAGGGTCCCACCTGAGCTGGGGACCCAGCCGGGGCAGGCTCTGGGAGGTTGGCCGGAGGGCAGCCGCGCAGGGATGGCGTCCGCGCCCCGGGGAGGGGAGGGTCCGCGCCCTGGGGCCCCGCTCCCGCCCGCCCGCCCCCCCGCCCCCGAGGCTCGCGGGCCCCGGCTCACCTCCGCTCCTCCGAGCCTGCCCGGGTACGCGGCTGCGGCCGCGGGTGGCACTGGGGAGGCGGGAGCGACCGAAGCCCGCGGAGCCGCCGCAGCCGCCGCTGCCGCCGCCGCCGCCGCCGCCGCCGCGTCTAGCTCCGTTTGACACCCACACACCAGCCAACATGGCGGCCGGGAGGGGGCGCGCCGGCTGCGTGCGCGCGCCCGCCGGCCCCGCCCCCAGCCCGCCGAGGCCCCGCCCCTTCCCAGGCCCCGCCCCCGCGACCTCCCCCCACAGACCCACGACCCCACTCAGAGAGCCCCGCGTCCCCTCAAGCCCCACACACGCCTCTTGACGACCACCCTCCAACCGCCCACAAACCCTACCAAATTCATACCCGAACCCACGCACTCGGCAACTTTCACTCAGACACCCCGTTCCCCGACAAATCCCCCCCCCCCCCCGAACCCCATACTCCACTCCATCTCGCCAGCCTCAGGCGCGCACGCAGAGCCCTCCATCAGCGCTGAAACCCCGTTCTTACCCTCGCCTTGCAATATGCACTTGGAAACATTATTCCAATAGGGGCTCTTCTCCAGAGCTGGAGCCTGGCAGGGGCCAGGGGCTCCTGGGGTGCTGGTCACTTTCGGTGTCTCGAGCTGAGTGCCAGGGTCACGAGTAGTGTTCACTTGTTGAAAATTCATTGATGTACACTATACATGTGTGCACTTTTGTGTAAGTGTGTTCGTACTTCAAAAAAACTCAAAAATGGTTCTGAGAAGGGATGCATCGGCTTTGCTAGACTGACAAAGGGATCCATATAGGAAAAATGTAAAGCCCTTGGCTCACCGTTATCCTCATAAGAGGAATTTACGGACTCACCCCTTCGCAGGGCCTGACACTCACAAGAGCAACAGGATCCACCCCTTGCATTGGGTTCAACAGGTGCCGATGAGGCTCCTGCAATGTGCCAAGCTCTGTGTGAGGCTCAGAGGGAGACAGAAGACAAAGCTGAAGAGACAGACTTTGGAGAGGTTCCTACCCCAGAAAGGGTGGGATCAGCAGAAACCCCTCACAGCAGAGTCTGGAGTATGGGTCCCAGCTTGCTGGGTTGGCAGTCAGCACCATCCCTGTTGCCTGGATCCAAGAAAGCCCCGGTGACATGGGCATTATGCTTAGCTCTGGTTTCAGGGAAGCTGTGTCCATGAGTCCCATTCTGCCCTCACTTATAAGAGACCTTGGGCAAGTCACGGCACTTCTCTGAGCTTTGTATTTCTCCTCCCTAGGAGGAAGCCCAATGGATGAAGACAACTCATCTTTGCTGGGCCTTCCTGGGCTTTCTGGGAGAGCAGAGCTTTACATGAAATCATGGCCCATGCCCTCAGAGTTTGTAACTCCAGATGGATTATGCCAACACGCTGTGGGTGCCCAGTGCAGGCTGGAGTGCTTCCCATAGATTCAATGCTGCCCAATATAACTTCCAATGATGGAAGTGTTCTCTAGCTGTGCCATCCACATGTGAGCGCTTGAGATGTGGCTTAGTGTGACCCAAGGAGCTGAATTTTTAAGACCATATTTAGCTTTTTTTTTTTTTTGTAAGATTTTATTTATTCATGAAAGACACAGAGAGAAAGGCAGAGACATAGGCAGAGGGAGAAGCAGGATCCCTATGGGGACCCTGACATGGGACTCCATCCTAGGACCCCAGGATCACGATCTGAACCGACGGCAGATGCTCAATCACTGAGCCACCCAGGCGTCCTGACTGTATTTAACTTTAATTAATGAATTGAAATAGCCCTATGTGGCTGAACAGTGGCTGGCCTAAAACCCACAGCCCCAAAAGGTGAGCAGTCTTACTGTCCACATACTACAGACAAGAATGTGAGGTTTGGAGAGATGCCAGGGCTTGGTCATCCGGGCCAGTTTTTCTGTGATGTAGAGCCCATGGCCTTCCCAACCCAGCTAGCAAGTCTGTGTAGCCACAGACATAAAGTGCAAACTTTGGAAAGAGACCTGAATATACAGATAAAGAGACTATGAAGGCCACCTGGCTGGCTCAGTCGGAGGAGCCAGGCAACTCGTGGTGTTGAGGTTGTGAGTTCCAGCCCCAAGTTGGGTGGAGATGACATAAATAAATAAACAAACAAACAAACAAACTTTAAAGAGAGAGAGAGAGAGAGATGATGATGATGAGCTTAAAAGTACAGCCCAGGGAGTAAATTGAGAAAGCAGGAGATTGAGCCAGGCTGGGGAGTGGGGGAGGGCCTCCTGAGGCCAGAAGACCACCCACCATGTACAAGGTCTGAGGGGACATTCCTAAATTCCTCCAAGTCATTTCTCACTCTCACTGCTTTGAAGCATATAGAACATCTTTCATGGTCTCCTCTCTCAATGCATCCTCAGGATGAGTGCTTATGGTCAGCAGTCCTACTCCACATTTACAGATGATGAAACAGAGGCCCCACACAGCGGTGCTGGGATTCAAACCTAGAGCGTGGAAGCAGTCTTGCAGAGGAAGCTGCAGGATAAGCCAGGCACCTTGCCCAGCCCCAAGCAGTCCTAGGGCACAGGGCTGGAGCATGCACTTTCATCTGCCTTTCCCAGGGTAGTGTAGCAGGAGCATAGGGGTGCAAGAGCCTGGTTCCAAGGGTCCCAAACAGACCAGGTTCAACCACTTGCTGCTGACAAAATCCAAGGCAAAGAGATGAATGGTGGTAAAACAAGAAAGGAATTTACTTCAGTAAGGCCAATACCAGGAAGATAGTGGACTAGCTTCTCAAAGACTGTCTCCGAAGCACTAAAAATACTTCCAGGTATATGTGAGGAGAATGTGGGACAAAGGTCAGTGGGTGGCTGCAGGTGGGCAATAAAGATCAGGTCCATCATTGTCTTGGAGTGGATCACCTGCGGCAGGGGTCTTGCCAGCTCAGGGTGATCTTTATTGCTTGAGGGGGTAGTTTCAGTTCACCCAGGGGATGCTTTGCCTGCAGGGTCTTTTGTCTGAGTTAAGAGAGAAGCTAAAAAGAACTTAATCAATTAGAATGTTTGAGGTTGGGACTCCTGGGTAGCTCAGTCCGTTAAGCGCCTGCCTTTGGCTCAGGTCTTGATCCTAGGGTTCTGTGATCGAGCCCCACGTGGGGAGACTACTCCCTTTCTCTCTCCCTCTGCTGCTCCCCCTGCTCGCTCACTCTCTCCCTCCCTCTCTCTCTCTTTCTCTCTGTCAAAGAAATAAAATCCGTAAAAGAAAGAATGTTTGAGGTCAAAATGGAAGTCAAGTCCTCTTTCAGTTCCAGATGCATTGTGAGGCAGTGACCAGGGCGGGCTGGTTGGAGTAGTATTTCAGAAGCATTGGGATGGCTGTGCAGGCCAGGGATGTCTTGGACTAGGGAAGGAGAGCATGCTGAGTGAAAAGAATTAATCCAGTATAGTTGGAAGACAGGCAGGGACAACGGCTCCCCTCCTCTCCCTACCCAAGGAGGAAACCACCCTTCCCAAGTGATAGGTAGATGACAAAAACCTGATTGGGTGACAGGTACATGGAGGGGTAATTAGAGTAAAACAGCCCGCCAACCAGCCCATAGAAACCACTAGACTTAGAAACTTCAGTGGCAACCCTCTCAGGTCCCCTCCCTCTTTGGGAGCTTTGTACTATCGCTCAATTAACTTTGCTTTGCTGCCCACCACTCTTTGGTCCAAGCAGTGTGACCAAGAACCGTGGGCGCTAAAGGGAAAGGAATCCTGTGACAGAATCACCTAGTAAAGGCGCAGAAGGAGGTCCCAAGGATCTTCACCCCAGGTTTGAACTCTAGGCTCAAAGAGAACGAGCCCTGCTCTGGGAATCCAGAAATACCTAACTTCTTATCTACTGATTCGCTGCTTGACCTTGGTCATGTCATTGCTCCCTCGAGGCCTCAGTTTCCTGATCTGTGAAGTGAGAATAATCCTCCCCACCTTTTGGGATTGCATTTGGTTCAGAATGAAAAAGCAGAGGAGGAAATGCTTTAGAAACTGTAAAGCCTGTTAAAATGAAAAGCCACAGCCGCAAATGGAATTACTTGGGCAAAGCCACATCACCAAGCTAGGGCTTAATATCTATCCTAATTGTAGTATCACCCTCCCTCCAGAGATGTCTTTATATATATTTATTTTTAATATATATATATATATATATATATTTAAAATAATCTCTATGCCCAACATGGGGTTCAAACTCACAACCCCAACCTAGCCAGCCAGGTGGCTCTGAAATGTGCCTTAACCTGTCTTTTTTTTTTTTTTAAGATTTTATTTATTTATTCATGAGAGACAGAGAAAGAGAGAATGAGGCAGAGACATAGGGAGAAGCAGGCTTCATGAAAGGAGCCTAAAGTGGGACTCAATCAGACCCCAGGATCACACCCTGAGCCAAAGGCAGACGCTAAATTGCTGAGCCACCCAGGCATCCCTGTCTTAACCTATCAATCAGGATTTTCTGATAAGCACCAATGAGGTAACCTGTCACGTGGGCCTCTCCACTCCGCCCCCCCTCAAAGAAAGATGAGGTAATCTGTATAATGAGAACCCCCCCACACCCTAGTCTTTCCCTCTAAGGAAAAGTGGTCTTGCCTGAAACAATCCTTTTCTTTTGTTTATGACTTTCTTGCCCCACCCTCCTTCCTAGAAAAACCTTCCATTTCCCACACCTTCTCTGGAGTGCCCCTCTACTTGCCAGATGGGGTGCTGCTCAATTCATGAACCATTTAATAAAGTCCATTAGATCTTCAAATTTTACTTGGTTGAATTTTGTCTTTTAATCAGCCCTGGATGGGCGTTAGCAGTGTTTCTTATTAAGACACGGAAACGAAGCTACTGCCCTTCTACGGGCTGGAAACCTAAAAGGGCAGAGAAGAGTCATGAACAGGAGCAGAAACTGAAACACCACATAGAAAATCACAGGAGAGGGAACCCTGGGTGGCTCAGCGGTTTAGCGCCAGAGTGTGATTCTAGAGACCCAGGATCAGGTATCAAGTTGGGCTCCCTGTGTGGAGCCTGCTTCTCCCTCTGTCTGTGTCTCTGCCCCTCTTTCTGTGTCTCTCATGAAGAAATAAATAAAATCTGAAAGAAAGAAAGAAAGAAAGAAAGAAAGAAAGAAAGAAAGAAAGAAAGAAAGAAAGAAAGAAAGAAAGAAAGAAAGAAAGAA